AGGGTTATTGCAATGGACATCTGTTTCTTGCAGAAAAAAAAAAAGTTTCTATTTAATCAAGCGGTGTCGCTAGGAAAATAAAAGGTTGCTCCACACCGTGCCCGATCTTGCGCAAATACCCCGCATGCTTTTAAGTCCTTAGGGGCCATGTCGATCAAACGTAATGCAGACTGGGCTGGTGCACTTCCTCCATAGATGTTGCAGCATTAAATTTTAATCAGCTTCTCCTGACTTTGCTTATGAAATTTTGGCATATGGTATTCAGTACTTGAAGAAGAACCATTAGCTGCTTTTCTTTTTATAAAGAAATTTGGGTCCTTCTACTGCGACAGGCTGGAGCTTTCTACTGTCCTGAGAGAGTGGGTTTCTGTGGTTTGCCCTGCCTCCCCAAGCCCAAATCTACAAAGTTTCCCATTCTCTATTTATAGTTTTGGGGCCACACCTGCAGGTGCTCAGGGATAACTCCTGGCTATGCACACAGAAGTCACTCCCGGAAGACTTGGGGACCACACTGGGTTCCGAGGATCTATCCTTGGCTGACTGCAGAGTATCCTACTCCTGACCCCCCATTCTCCTCTGACACACTCTCACATCTGTCCAAAGATCCACTTCCTAAAGCGCTGGCAAGCAAAGGTGTCCTGATGAGCACTAAAACCACCAGAGGAATGATTCCGTATGGATCAAGCATCAGCTCTGAGATACCTAAGTACATTTTCAGCAATTATATCCATCAGTTCTAGTGGGCGTCTGACAAAAAAATGATATTCTTGACATCCGCTGCTTGCACAGGCTTCCTTTGAGTGTGAACATTTTCTCCACCTCATGTTCCTAGGAAAGCACACATACAAATGGTGAACAGAACCCCTAAAGCTTAGCAGCCGACCCAAACTTGGACATCACTGCAGGCAGCCAACCCGGGTTGGATTGCCGGCCTCCCACTCCGTCCCCAAACACCACCAAGAGTCATTCCTGAGTGCAGAGCTAGGGGTAAGTCTGAGCACTGCCTGGGGTGGCCCAAACAAAACAGACCAACAACAAAAACTCAGGTGTTCCAACACTCCCACTCCAAAGCACAGTAGACTTTAGTGTTGAGTCAGAGAATGCAGGGGTTATGGTACATGCCTGACACATGACTGCCAACTTCGCCCCCTGGCACCACAAGGGTCTCAAGCATTGCCATGTGCATCCCAAGAGAGGCCACTGGAGTGGCCTGGGATATCCCTGCCACCACAGCGCCAAGCCTCATCGAAGTGCTAAGAATCACCACCAGGAGGTGCCCTGGGGCAGTGCTCAGGAGATCTGGGGCTAGGGAGAAAGTAGAGTGGTTAAGGTGCTTGCTTTGCATTCAGCTGACCCGGGGTTCTATCCCCAGCACCCCATACTGTCCACTGAGCACTGCCAGGAGTCATCCTGAGTGCAAAGCCAGGAGTAAGTCCTGAGCACTGCCTGGCACGAGCCCCCAAATAAAATTCAAAACCACTTTAGGATAAAAATTTAGATTCCCCAAAGCCAGGTGTATAAATTCAGGCTGAAGTAACCAATCCTGTGTCTGAAAAACTTGGAGCCACATGAAGTAACAATCAGAAGACATGCCGCTCCGTCAAGGAGAAGAGGGGGGTGCACACCCACCCTTGAAAGGTCCACTGAAGGCTCCTATGCTGCCCGAGCCCCTGAGTTGCTTGTGCCCATGTAGCTGAACAAATGCGGTGCCCGCAGCTCTCCTTCAGATGGGGACTTTTGTGCTTTCCTTTCTAATGTTGGGATGTGTGTAGGGGCTCTCTCTGTCTTTGGAGAAGCCCACTGTCTCTCCTGAAATGTTACTCTCTCTACGCTCATCCTCTTCCTAAAGGTCACCAAATAAAATGTTTTTGTTTTTTACTTCAAATAAATAAACCAAAGGTCCACAGAAGATAAAACATTTACCACTCATAACAGCATCAGTGATTCTAAAAACCAGACAGCTCTGCACACCAGTTACTCCAGAAGTGGAACATCATATTACTCTTGCTAGAGTCCAGAATGACAGTTTCAAAAAAAGTAATAATAACCAAAACCTTTTTACCTTTAGAAGTGAGTACTGTGCAATCAACCCAAACAGTCCTGTGAGATACTCATCCCAAACTATTGCCTGCGGGAGGGAGAAGCATCCCGTTCTTCTAGTAAAAGCAATTTCAGTAACGGCCAACAGCAAACAACAGTCATTTGCAAACTCTGGACAAACAAAACTTGTAGTTAGCAATAGCTGGCCACACTCATATTCCGTGGCCTGAAGAAAAACAGCGTCAGGGCAAGGGGTGCTACTGGCCACGGAAGCACATTCACTGTCATCCACAAAGAGTGTGTATGCAGTGTCCTGGGGTCAGACTGGGGTCATGAACCCCATGGGTGAACTGCCAAGGAAACTGTGGAGGAACAGGCATCTGGAAAAGTGGTTCCCAGGGTAGCATGCCGCGACACCCCGCACACGGGGACAGCGGGGTGTGCCTGGACGTGTTGTTGCGCTCTTCCTGTGGAGAGCGACTCGAGTCGGCACCGTTTTCCTTCCCAGAGCCGAGCCGCAGGGGCGGGGAGCACAACGCCCCCTCTCTCTGGGCATCTGGCACTGTGGGTGCCCCCGGCCCCAGAGGCCGCTGCCCACCCGGGCCCTCAGCTTGCTGCCCCCGCACTTGTCCAGGAACTTGCACAGCAAGTTCAGGTCACCTGCTCTAAGGTCAGGTGCATGGCCTTGGCACCGTCCAGCCCCGCCCCCACGTGACGCCGCGGTCACGTGAAAAGAGTGACATCACACCGCCGTCTGAAGCTAGAAGCCACTGGAGTCCCCGGGCCTCTTTCTGGTCTTGCCCTCCACCTCTTGGTTCCACCCTGCCCGGGACCATCCCACCCTGGGCCCGAGGCTCCCGCAAGGTCCTCGCCGCGGCCCGCGAGCCCCCGGGAGCCGAGAACTGGCGTCAGAGACAGCAGCGCTGGTGCTAAGATGTCGGGGCGACCCCTGCCCGGGCAGCCCCTGGACACCGCCGGTGGGGCGCAGAACATTGGTTTTGTTTCTTTGGTTGAAATAAAATAAAGAGAAGGGACCAGAGCGACCGCACAGCGGTTAGGACGTTTGCCTTGCACACGGCCCACCCGGGTTTGATCCCCAGCATGCCATAGGGTCCCCCAAGCAACGCCAGGCTTAATTCCTGAGTGCAGAGCCAGGAGTAAGCCCTGAGCATTTCTCGATGTGACCCAAAAAGCAAAATAAATAAATAAAAGAAACAAAATGACTAAAGATAAAATTGGTCTTCGTCCGCTTAACAGTCTCACCTTCAGGGGCTGGAGATAGTACAGGGATTAAGGCATTTTCCTGCAGGAGGGATATGCTTCATACGCTTCAGCCCCTGCAGCCCCCCAAAGAACGCTGATGATTAAGGCTCCGTTTGGACCAGGGAGAGGCGCCAAGCTTCGGAAGCTTCTGGAGCGTGGGAGCTGACTCCCACCACAGCTGCCCGGTGAGGCTCTGCTAGCATCGCTCACCAGCCCACTGCACTGCTGCTCGCTCAAAATTTCAAGATTGACTTAAATTTGTTTTTTCTTTTTAAAAATGTTATTTTCTTTGTGAAAATTTTAAATCCTAATGAAATACAGAGTTGATCATGGTTGGATTTCAGTCATATCATGTTCCAACACCTGTCCCTTCGCCAGTGTACATTGCTCACCACCAATGTTCCCAGTCTCCCTACGCCCCCAGGCAGGCAAGGCACCTCTCTCTCCCTCCTCCTTTCTGCAGTGCTCTCTCTCCACTCCCTCTCTCCCTCTTTTCTCTCTCCCCCTCTCTCTGACACACGCCTTTTGGTTTACAATACAGGGGGACCTTATGGGGTGCCGGAATTCGACCACGAGTCTTCTGCACGCCAAGCAAGTGCCCTGTCTGCTGTAGTGTCTCTGGCTCCCAGACGCTTCTTTTAAAGAATCAAGAACTTGGGGGCAGAGAGGCAGCACAGGGGTCTGCGCCACATGGTCCCCAAGCACTGCTGCAGCTGGGATGGCCCCCGCGACTCCCCCGCCCAGGCTACAGCAGGGGCTGCAGGCGGGCCCCAGCCCAGAGGGCCCAGGTCACCAAGGTCTCTGTGACCCCCATGCGGAAGCAGAAGAGCCCCCAGCTCTGACCCCAGGGCCCCATTCCCCTCATCTCTCACCATCCCGCTAGGGGCGCCAAGGGTGCCCCACCGAGCCAGGGCACAGGCCGCCGAGACTCAGCGCTCCCCGGGGGCTGTACAGACCCCCCCAGACCCCCAGCAGAGCTGGGGCACAGCGCTGCCTCTGCTCCCTCCGAGGGACCCTGCCGGGAAGCTGGGGGCGGGGGACGAGGGCGCCCTGGCGTCATGCCCCCTGCACTGCCAGCTGGCCTTGCGAGGGCATGTTCCCCACACCTCCCCGCCCCATCCCGGCTCCTGGGAGCGGTCTCAGGGGGTCCTCGGGTTCCCCTGGCCATCGCTGGGTCCTGCCCAGTGAGGGACCAACCAGCAGCCCCAGCAGGCCGGTGAGCGGCTCGCGTCGCCCTCTGCTGGCCGCCGTGCGAACTGCACGGGTGCCGGGCCCTGCCTGGCGCGGGGGTCCCGCCCACCCGCACTCAGCAGCGCCTCGCTCAGGCCCGCGTCCCCGCGTCCCGGGGGTTCCCTGCCCGCCCCTCGGGGGCTGGCCGGTGGCTGCGGAGCCGCAGGAGGGGGCGCTGCCCGCGCAGCGGTCCCTGGGGGGCCTCCGGCCGGATGCCCGAGATCCGTAGCGCCAGGTTGGTTGGCGGGGGCCGGAGCAGGGTCCGCGACTCCCGGCGGGCGACCCCCGGCGCCCGTGTCCCCGACACGGGGCGGACCCCTGCCCCCGGCGCCCAGCGAGGCTCACCCCGAGGCCACTGACCGTCTTTCCTGGGGGCAGTGGCAGGCGGGCCGGGGGAGCGCATAGCGCGCGAGTCCTGGGGCGCGGGCGCGGCCCCCCCCCTCCTCCCCCCCCCCCCCGTGGGGGTCTCAGTCCAGAGGCGTCTGTCCGGGGGACCGGGCGGCGGCGGCGGCAGGACTGGACGGCGGCCTCGGCGTCTGGCCCCTCAGGTGGGGCAGGGTGGGCGGGGGCCCCTGGCGAGCAGAGCAGGGTCCGGTCAGGCAGGCGCGGTGTCGGGCTCAGGCTTCAGGCTCAGCATCTCCCTCTTCAGGGGCGCCCAGCTCAGCGCGGTCTAGGAGACTGGGGGTCAGCAGCGGCCCACAGGAGCCGGCAGCCGGCTGTCCCCGCTGCAACGCCCCGCCCGAGACTCACCACGCACCCTCACGCCTGCTCAGGGGCGCCCTCCACTCCAGGTGGGGAAACTGAGGCTCAAAGGTACCCAGTGAGGCGTGGACGGGCTCGGCTTCTTCTGACCCCGTGGTCGGGGGTCTCTCCTGCATCCCCTTCTCCGGGCAGAGCGGCCGACCTCTGCACGTCGCGGGGGCTTGTCTGGGGGGTGGGGGCACCGTCCTCTCCCAACCGCGCCCTGCTGCTGCTGCGGCTGAGCGAGAATCCCCGGGAACCCCTAGCCCACTGAGTCTCCTTGGACCCGCCGGCCATGGACTGCTGGTCGCAGGCCCTGCGGGTCCTCAAGGCCCCTGGGACCTCAACTTCCCTTCCTGTGCCCGAAATCAACCCTGAGAGAGGCCAGTGCACAACTGCCCTAGAACTGATGCTCAAAGGCTCCCAGGACTATTGCGGGGGGAGGGGCCCAGGCTCTGATGCTTGAAGAAGTTTAGTGAAATTTTACTAACTGTGAGGGAGAAAAAGTTTGCCTATGTGTGCATGACAGAACCCGCAGCATTGTGTCCATTTGAATTTAAAGAAACAAGTTAATAACTTTGGGAGATGGAGAACAGAAAGAATAAAAAAGGACTTGTTGCATCCCCACCACACCCCCCAAAAAAAGAATTCTTTGAAACACCTAATCCCAGGTTGAAGTGCTATTTCTTGAATAAATTATTCCAAGCAATGACAACAATTAAAACACACACAAAAGGACGTGTGTGGGGGAGCACAGGGTGGGGACGGACGTTCAGTCAAGACTGGGCAATGCCACAGCCTGGAAAGGACATGAGAGGGGACAGAAGTGTGGCTCCTGGGATGCATATTGGGAGAGAGACAGAGGTGCGTGTGAAGTGGGGGATCTCATTAAAGTCTGGGGTCCAGGACAGCAGTGGATGTTCGTGTCCTACTCAGTGTTTCGAATCTGTGTGCCTTGGGGATGGAGGGAATGTGCACCCCTGGGAGAAGCCGGGAGGGCCACTGGGTATTCCCTCCAACCCACCTTGCGGCACTGGGTCATGCATGTTTAGATCACATGCTCTGGGCCATAGCACCAGTGATGCGGGCAGGTGACACATTGAATGAGGCATAACTTACAGCAACAAGCCGAGTCTCTCTGGTCCCCGGGTGAGTGGGTGAACGAAGAGCATGTTCCGAGTGTCAGATGCTTCCCAAAACTGACAGGAGGATTCGGAGACTGAGGCCCACGTTAGAAATGGCAGAATGTATGTCTGGTTAGTGAGACCCAAGATATCCGCACACACATTACAGAATTCTCATGGGTTTATGGCAAACGGGAATTCTCACAGAGATGAAAAGAGAAGTGTGTATTTCTCTCAGCGCCTGGCTCACACTTACACTCCAGATCATTAAATAGAAAGCAAAGAATCTGAGACTAACAGAGATCTCCTGAATTCAACACCCAAGGGCTGGAAATACACCGGAAAGGGTGGACTTCTGTGCAGTTAAGCTATTACATGAGCAACACCTCGCTAGGGAATAGGATCTTGTTTAGGTGGAAATAAGAGCGTTTTAGTGGAAAGGAAATCTCTGATGCGAACCTGTGGGTCAGGAATCTTGACTTTCCTATGGCATGTGTTTGGGGCTGGGCTGGGGTCTACGCTTCACAGACAGGAGAGCTGGGTTGGTCCCCAGCACTGCATGGTCTCTGGAGGCAGGAATGACTGAAGAGCACTGTGTCCCCAAAACAAAACAAAACAAACTTATTTGGTAACTGATCCCACCATAAGATGATTTTAAGAGTTCCTTGCTCTAAATCTAACACATACTTAGAAAATCTGGTTTTAAATGTTTATTCAAAGTGAAGGGGTTTAAGGAGGATGAGCAGAGTCTCCTGCCCCCGCGCCTGGCTGTCCTCGCCGGGACCCCTTGGAGGGGAGCAGGTTGAGTTTCCCTCCCCACCCCGACCAGGGCTCCGGCAGCCGAAGACCTCCACAACCAGCCACCACCATGCTGAGACCACTCTCCACAGGCATGAAGGTACTGGCAGAGGAAAAAAGGCATGCGTGTCCTGGGGCTGAGATCTTCAAGCCTGCTCAGATTGGGGCTGAGCATCCTCCACTCAGATCCTCCATATTCCAGTAGGCAGGGGTTACACCCACCAACTGCCCCCCTTGTGCCCTGTAATCCCATCAACGGCCAAGACGCAGAGACTATAAAACCCAGCTCCCGGAAGCATCTTATTATCTCATTCTTTCTTTGGACAAACTGGCAGGCTACCGAATGTAACCTGCCCACACGGCAGAGTCTGGCAAACTCCCCGTGGCTTACCCAATATGCCAAATACCAGTAACAATGATGGGTCTCATTCTACTAACCCTGAAAGAGCCTTGAATATGGCACTTTTTAAAAAATTCTCAGGTCTAGGACAAAGGAGACATTACCGGGGCCTGTTCGAGGCAATCGACGAACAACAAGATGGTTGTGATCGTGATCGTGAGCAGATTCCGATTTTTTGGGGGGGAGGGGGTCATAAGGAGAGATCTCACGGGATCCTCCTGGTTCTGCACTCAGGAATTACTCCTGGCAGTGCTTGGGGGACCATATGGGATGCCAAGGATCGAACCCAAGTTGGCCGGGTGCAAGACAAACGCTCTCCACGCTGGAATATCGCTCCAGTCCCAGACTCCCATTCTTTGGTCAGGACTATCCAACTAGCCTGAGCCATCAGCTCTGAGGCAGGAGGGGAGGGAAGCTTCCTTGGCGTGTTCCTGACACAAGCCTGGAACATTGCACAATCACCTGGCAGCCTTTCCTCGAGTGGGCACATGTGGCGACCCCTACATGGACACGGCCAAACAGACCCCGGCAGCTGCTCCTGCTGACCAGTCCTCACGGCTAATTCCTTTGGTCTCTTCTCAGCTCTGACTTCTACCGTGCAATCCACAAGTGGCTGGAGGACATCGGGCCTCTTTACCGATGCCTGAGTCACAAATACGCTTTAGATTTGGTGTCATGAGGAACAGCAGAGGGAGGAGAGCCGGAAGGGAGGTCTCCGGGGCCAGAAACCTTTCCCAAGGGATCACACTACCCAGATTCTTTCCTTACGACTTTCATAAGAAATAAATCTCAGTCATGATGCAAATGCCTTAAAGTGTTACTGGGCAGCCTTTCAAAATGCAAAAAACAAGAACCAAATATTAGAAACTAAAAAAATATATGATATTTATTATAACGTTGATAGTTTCATTAGTCTTTCCATCAACGACACACAGATAGAGCAAAGGAAGCAAGAGTGGGAGGAAAAAGAGAGGGTGAGGTGAGCACGGCAGCGCTTGAGCGCGGAGACAGCCAGACATCAGCACCCACAGTGAGCTCAGGACCACGGAGGCTGCCTCCCGGCCCCGCAGAGTTCCTGACCAAAGCCCGAGCCTGACATTCTGGTTCTGGTATCTGTCCCTGGCCGTCAGGGAAGTGGGGGACTCTGAACAGTACTTCCCCCCCCCAGCCATCCTCTCTGGGCTTTAGCAGTGGTCTGAGCAGGGCAGGACTGGCCCTGCCTTCCGCAGCTGGACCTGTTTTGAACCTGTCTGAAAACCCAACTTGGAGACAATCTCCCGAAAGAAACGCTGACTTTCACAAAGTGCAGAGACACACCTTTGGCACACATCGCTTGCAGCTAAGCTGGAGATAACAACAGTCTGGGGAAAAACCGCAGCAAACCCAGGGATTGGGTGAGTGTAGCCGACGACCTCGCTCAGAGGCAGCAGTTCTGCGCCTCCATGTGGGAGCCCAGGATGGAGAGAGCCTCCGCCATCAGGACTGCACGCCAACAAGGCCCTTGGGGGCAGGCAGCGGTTTCTGCATGAACCCAGGGAAACTGGACCTAAACCCTTCTAGGCTTTCAACATGAGAGCAGAGCAAATTCCTTTTAGCACTTTATCTACCATCACACTCAGACCTACATCTGAATCCTTTACAATCTCTACCTGCCGATGAAGATCCTGGGATTAGCTACAATTGAGTTGTCTTCAGATTTCTGAATCAGACACAACTTGCCATGATTAACGAGAAGAAACAGTTCAATATTTGTTTTAAAATTTTTTAATAGTTTTAAAATTTATTACTCCCACAAAAAAAAATAAAGTCATCATTTGTTCCTTAGATTCACTGAAAGTTTTTTTCCTTCGGGGTGGATGGGTGCACACCTGGCCATGCTCAGGGTTTACCCTGGCTCTGGGCTCAGGATACCATATGGGGTGCCAGGGATTGAACCCAGCTCAGCTGTGTACAAGACAAGATAGTACCAGTTCTACGACTTCCCCGGCCCCTGAAAGAGTGACTTTCCATGGATGGCTGCATAAACATTCCTGGGACATAGGGGGAGAAGGGGAACAGAGGTGATGAGACAGCAGAGGGAAATGGACAAGTGGTTAAATGGGTCATTTGATTTTAGAATTTATTTATGTATTTATTTTTGCCGGGGGTCACGCCCAGCGATGCACAGGGTTACTCCTGGCTCTACACTCAGGAATTACTCCTGGTGTTGCTCAGGAGACCATATGGGATGCTGGGAATCGAACCCGGGTCGGCCGCGTGCAAGGCCATACCCCGCCGTGCTACCACTCCAGCACTAAGTTGCATGCCAAGACGAGTGTCTTAAAAAAACAAAACCAAAATGAAACAAAAAACTGCTTCCCGTTCTAACGGATGGTTCCTCCTCAAGCCACGGGCGCCAGCCTTGATTCTGGGGGGATGTGCGTTGTGGGGAGCGCGGGAGAGGATGGGACTCTGGTGTCTGTGTGCCCCCAACTTGGGAGTTGTCTCCTGCAAATAGCACCAGGGATGA